ATTCAGCCAGAAGCCAAGACTCAATTCTTCTTCATCTCCTCCCATCGACTCTCCTAGTGGACAGTGCAGGTCTGGTTCATAGCAGTGTAGGTCTGGTTTATGGCAGTGCAGGTCTGGTTCATAGCAGTGTAGGTCTGGTTTATGGCAGTGCAGGTCTGGTTCATAGCAGTGTAGGTCTGGTTTATGGCAGTGCAGGTCTGGTTCATGGCAGTGCAGGTCTGGTTCATGGCAGTGCAGGTCTGGTTCATGGCAGTGCAGGTCTGGTTCATAGCAGTGTAGGTCTGGTTTATGGCAGTGCAGGTCTGGTTCATGGCAGTGTAGGTCTGGTTCATGGCAGTGCAGGTCTGGTTCATGGCAGTGCAGGTCTGGTTCATGGCAGTGCAGGTCTGGTTCATGGCAATGCAGGTCTGGTTCATAGCAGTGTAGGTCTGGTTTATGGCAGTGCAGGTCTGGTTCATAGCAGTGTAGGTCTGGTTTATGGCAGTGCAGGTCTGGTTCATGGCAGTGCAGGTCTGGTTCATGGCAGTGCAGGTCTGGTTCATGGCAGTGCAGGTCTGGTTTATGGCAGTGCAGGTCTGGTTCATGGCAGTGCAGGTCTGGTTCATGGCAGTGCAGGTCTGGTTCCTGGCAGTGCAGGTCTGGTTCATGGCAGTGCAGGTCTGGTTCATGGCAGTGCAGGTCTGGATAATGGCAGTGCAGGTCTGGTTCATGGCAGTGCAGGTCTGGTTCATGGCAGTGCAGGTCTGGTTCATGGCAGTGCAGGTCTGGTTCCTGGCAGTGCAGGTCTGGTTCCTGACAGTGCAGGTCTGGATAATGGCAGTGCAGGTCTGGTTCATGGCAGTGCAGGTCTGGTTCCTGACAGTGCAGGTCTGGATAATGGCAGTGCAGGTCTGGTTCCTGGCAGTGCAGGTCTGGTTCCTGACAGTGCAGGTCTAGATAATGGCAGTGCAGGTCTGGTTCCTGGCAGTGCAGGTCTGGTTCATGGCAGTGCAGGTCTGGTTCATGGCAGTGCAGGTCTGGTTCCTGACAGTGCAGGTCTGGTAAATGGCAGTGCAGGTCTGGTAAATGGCAGTGCAGGTCTGGTTCATGGCAGTGCAGGTCTGGTTCATGGCAGTGCAGGTCTGGTTCATGGCAGTGCAGGTCTGGTTCATGGCAGTGCAGGTCTGGTTCATGGCAGTGCAGGTCTGGTTCATGGCAGTGCAGGTCTGGTTCCTGGCAGTGCAGGTCTGGTTCCTGACAGTGCAGGTCTGGATAATGGCAGTGCAGGTCTGGTTCATGGCAGTGCAGGTCTGGATAATGGCAGTGCAGGTCTGGTTCATGGCAGTGCAGGTCTGGTTCATGGCAGTGCAGGTCTGGTTCCTGGCAGTGCAGGTCTGGTTCCTGACAGTGCAGGTCTGGATAATGGCAGTGCAGGTCTGGTTCATGGCAGTGCAGGTCTGGATAATGGCAGTGCAGGTTTGGTTCATGGCAGTGCAGGTCTGGTTCATGGCAGTGCAGGTCTGGTTCCTGGCAGTGCAGGTCTGGTTCCTGACAGTGCAGGTCTGGTAAATGGCAGTGCAGGTCTGGTAAATGGCAGTGCAGGTCTGGTTCATGGCAGTGCAGGTCTGGTTCCTGGCAGTGCAGGTCTGGTTCATGGCAGTGCAGGTCTGGTTCATGGCAGTGCAGGTCTGGTTCATGGCAGTGCAGGTCTGGATAATGGCAGTGCAGGTCTGGTTCATGGCAGTGCAGGTCTGGTTCATAGCAGTGCAGGTCTGGTTCCTGGCAGTGCAGGTCTGGTTCCTGACAGTGCAGGTCTGGTAAATGGCAGTGCAGGTCTGGTAAATGGCAGTGCAGGTCTGGTTCATGGCAGTGCAGGTCTGGTTCATGGCAGTGCAGGTCTGGATAATGGCAGTGCAGGTCTGGTTCATGGCAGTGCAGGTCTGGTTCCTGGCAGTGCAGGTCTGGTTCCTGACAGTGCAGGTCTGGTTCCTGGCAGTGCAGGTCTGGTTCATGGCAGTGTAGGTCTGGTTCCTGGCAGTGCAGGTCTGGTTCCTGGCAGTGCAGGTCTGGTTCCTGGCAGTGCAGGTCTGGTTCCTGACAGTGCAGGTCTGGTAAATGGCAGTGCAGGTCTGGTTCATGGCAGTGCAGGTCTGGTTCCTGGCAGTGCAGGTCTGGTTCCTGGCAGTGCAGGTCTGGTTCCTGACAGTGCAGGTCTGGTTCCTGGCAGTGCAGGTCTGGTTCCTGGCAGTGCAGGTCTGGTTCCTGACAGTGCAGGTCTGGATAATGGCAGTGCAGGTCTGGTTCCTGGCAGTGCAGGTCTGGTTCCTGACAGTGCAGGTCTGGATAATGGCAGTGCAGGTCTGTACCCTGGCAGTGCAGGTCTGGTTCCTGACAGTGCAGGTCTGGATAATGGCAGTGCAGGTCTGGTTCCTGGCAGTGCAGGTCTGGTTCCTGACAGTGCAGGTCTGGATAATGGCAGTGCAGGTCTGGTTCCTGGCAGTGCAGGTCTGGTTCATGGCAGTGCAGGTCTGGTTCATGGCAGTGCAGGTCTGGATAATGGCAGTGCAGGTCTGGATAATGGCAGTGCAGGTCTGGTTCCTGACAGTGCAGGTCTGGATAATGGCAGTGCAGGTCTGGTTCCTGGCAGTGCAGGTCTGGTTCCTGACAGTGCAGGTCTGGATAATGGCAGTGCAGGTCTGGTTCCTGGCAGTGCAGGTCTGGTTCATGGCAGTGCAGGTCTGGTTCATGGCAGTGCAGGTCTGGTTCCCGGCAGTGCAGGTCTGATTCATGGCAGTGCAGGTCTGGTTAATGGCAATGCAGGTCTGGTAAATGGCAGTGCGGGTCTGGTAAATGGCAGTGCAGGTCTGGTTCATGGCAGTGCAAGTCTGGATAATGGCAGTGCAGGTCTGGTTCATGGCAGTGCAGGTCTGGGTCCTGGCAGTGCAGGTCTGGTTCCTGACAGTGCAGGTCTGGTTCCTGACAGTGCAGGTCTGGTTCCTGGCAGTGCAGGTCTGGTTCATTGCAGTGCAGGTCTGGTTCCTGGCAGTGCAGGTCTGGTTCCTGGCAGTGCAGGTCTGGTTCCTGGCAGTGCAGGTCTGGTTCCTGGCAGTGCAGGTCTGGTTAATGGCAGTGCAGGTCTGGTTAATGGCAGTGCAGGTCTGGTTCCTGGCAGTGCAGGTCTGGTTCATGGCAGTGCAGGTCTGGTTCATGGCAGTGCAGGTCTGGTTAATGGCAGTGCAGGTCTGGTTAATGGCAGTGCAGGTCTGGTTCCTGGCAGTGTAGGTCTGGTTCATGGCAGTGTAGGTCTGGTTCATGGAAGTGCAGGTCTGGTTAATGGCAGTGCAGGTCTGATTCCTGGCAGTGTAGGTCTGGTTCATGGAAGTGCAGGTCTGGTTAATGGCAGTGCAGGTCTGGTTCCTGGCAGTGCAGGTCTGGTTCCTGGCAGTGCAGGTCTGGTTCCTGGCAGTGCAGGTCTGGTTCCTGGCAGTGCAGGTCTGGTTAATGGCAGTGCAGGTCTGGTTAATGGCAGTGCAGGTCTGGTTCCTGGCAGTGCAGGTCTGGTTCATGGCAGTGTAGGTCTGGTTCATGGAAGTGCAGGTCTGGTTAATGGCAGTGCAGGTCTGATTCCTGGCAGTGCAGGTCTGTTTCCTGGCAGTGCAGGTCTGCAGCTAGACTCTATTTATTTATTTTCCCCCCAAACCCTGTTTGTTCCTTTAAACTTTCCTGACAATAATTTACATCTTTTTAGTCGTTGCTGTAGAAAATTATTACTATACTTTGTGTGAACGTAAATCAATAGAATGCAGTTCCATCAACTCTCACCTATTTGTAGTGAGACTCCCGCATCTCAGTTTCTTCACATGCTGTCACTCCTTATCTCCAGTTTTCATGCAAAAAAATGACGGACAATAAAACTCAACTCCGTTCCACGTATTTATACATAAAAATACCATGGTGACAAAAATCCAGTCCGATACAACCGTAGTGCTAACAGATGAAGACATGCCAGGTTCAGTTCCAGTCCGTGTTCCCACCTGTTCACTGTGCTGACAGCAGCTGCCTTAGATATTTCTAGAGATTTCTAAGCATTATTAAGCGTTATTATGAGGTATGACATTTGATTTTTTTATCTAATCCTTTTCTTATCTGGACTAAGATAATTCACTCTGTAAATTAATGATTTTAAGCAATTTAGCAATTAAGGAAATTTGAATAAAATATACAGCACCAGGCTTAAATAATCCATGTGGAGAATGAATGTAGGATCACATCAAATTGTTTTCTCTACATCTAGGGTTTTTTTTACTGGGCGTTACTCCTTGTTTTCTCTAGTTTATCCTCCTGATTTAGTCCCAGTTTTAGTCCACGTTTTTCTCACAGGTTAAATAATTATTCCTCGGTCTAGTTGAATAATCTCCTGTTGCATTTCAGGATATATTTAATCAACATAAATATCTAATTTCTTGTACGCCTCACAAACCGACAGCATCCACAAAAAAGAAAAAGGAATAAATGTATTTTATTTTTCAGCCACCAAAGAAAAGACCAAGCAGATAGAGACACAGAGAGGATGTGCAGAACAACTCAGTTCTCCAGGATTGATTGAGGAGGAACCACAGGGATGTTCTCATTTTATCATTACTTATCTTATTCATTTATCCTTATTTTGCCCCACTGAATATGTTTAAAAACTTAATTTCCATCACATCTACCAAAATTAAACATCCAGAGAAGTTCTTATAGAATCTACCAGGGCTGAAACATTTAATCAATTATTGAAATAATCGTCAACTGATTTAGTTCTAATTTAATCAATTGATCATTAACTGAAATATAGAGACTCTAAAACATGTCTTTAGCTGACTAAACTAACTTAAAACTTTCTTAATTATTTGGTGTAGAAAATGATTACTATTGTTTGTGTGAATGCAAATAGGGAGAGTGTAATCGTAACCTCCGGACCAGTAGGTGGCGGTAATGCTCCTGTAGGTGGGCCACCAGTCGCTCTTAAACCCGAAGAAGAAGAAGAAGAAGAAGAAGAAGAAGAAGAGGAGGAGGAAATAGGAAAGAGGAGGACCAGCATGGCCGCTATCGGGATTCATTTCGGTTACACCTGTGCTTGTGTCGCTGTGTTCAAGGTGAGTTTAAACCCACAGTTAGCGGCTCTGCTCCAACATGGCGGCTGCTACGAAACTCTGGCTGAGAACGTTACACGGTAGCGTCTGCTGCTGTCCGCGGGCAACACGAGCTCTGACGTCACAGCCGGTGACGGTATCCCGGTAAAAGCAGCACATGGAGCAGAGGACCATCCATAGGGAACCAGGGATCAGCGAGGTTAGGCCGGAGGAGGGCTGCACGAGCCAGACAAGCTAGCAGGTCAACGAGGCCGCAATATTGATTCAGCAGCAGCAGAGCATCCAGCTCAGAGTTAACCCTCTGCTATAGAAACAGAGCAGGTAGAATGGCCCAGTCACACTGCTCTACAGTAGCTTCTTATCATTGATTCAGTTTATTCTGAATTAAATAATGTAATTGCTGTGAACACGTGCTTTCAGTGACAGAAAGGACTCCATGTTTATTATAAACCTGCTTATAAAGTCTAGAAAGTTGTAAAGCTGATCTCATCCTCCTCAGTCTGGAAACATCTGGACCCACAGAAGCAGCTGCCCTGAAACCAACCACAGGATCAGACCCTGGATTCTGATTGGCTGCAGGGTCCAGAAACTGCTGCGCTTTCATTTGGTTTTAATGGCAACTATTAGAAGCGGTTCTAGTTCTGCTGCTCTATAGAACAGGGCAGCCTCAGTGGAGATAATTAGACCCAAACATCATATATTAAATTAACGAACGCTGAAACACATCAAAGTCATCCCCACAGAGGAGAGAATAATTAACCCTAGTAACCATGGCAACGGTTCAGAACCAGACTGCTGTTCTGACTGAATGATGACGTTTCTCTCCTCGCTATCTGGCTGCTGTCAGTCAGAGTTCCTTCAGTATGTGGGCCAATCAGCAGCCAGCTTCATGACCCGCCCTGCTCCATAGACCCCCTGAAGCTGCGCTCACACCGAACGCATTATGGCCGTCAGACACACTTTAAAGACCAAATCTGGACGCTGGATCAAACTGTGGTGTGGTTGCTTTGACGCTTCTACACTACGGACGCCCGGTGATCTGGACGCCCGGTGATCTGGTTGATTATCCGCTCTGTTCTGTAGCTTCAAGCTAGAGCGACTTTATTTACTTTGAGTTTTTAAACTAGTTTTAACGCCTTTCTAAGTGAGAAAGTCCACCTCCAAACATCCTCTGTTCATCAGGATTATAATCCCATTATAATCTATGCTCCTTGTTGGGAGCTCCAGACCTCCAGCATAGCACCGGGAGGCAGCGCTGGGAATCCCCGCTGAAAGCTCTCTGCTGCAGGCAGCCTGTGGGGGATTTCCTGCTGCCGCTCGTAGCGGCTGGAAGTGAATAGAAAGAGTTTTTAAGGTTTTTTGGTAAAAACTACAAGAACCAGAATATACGATCTAATATCTTTCATTAGCAGGTTTTAGCATCTTGATATTTCTTTATTTTTCATCTGCAGAAGCGATGGCAGTTTGCAGGTAGTGTCTTTCTACCCCAAAAACCTCCTGGATCAGCTTTTCTGATTGGTTGAAGCGGTTTAGTGGCAGCGGTTTAGCATTTGCCCTGGCTCTAAATGGGCCGAACTATTGAATGCCATAGCAACCAGGCTGATGCCATAGCAACCAGGCTGATGTCATAGCAACCAGGCTGCCTGAACTCTCCTATTTAAAGGCTCTGCTTGGATGTGACCCTGGTCAGAGGTCTCTGAATGGAGATCAGGTCAGACTGGGAGCCAATCAGCTTGCTGCCTGAACAGGAAGAAGGAAAAGCAGGCGTGGAGCTTCTCCCAGACGGGTCCTCTGAATGGTCACCTGCTCCACCTGCCGGGGTGGGCGGGGCTCTAAGGTTGATTGACTCCAGCACTCTGTCTCGTTCAGGATGGCCGGGCGGACGTGGTGGCCAACGATGCAGGAGACCGGGTGACTCCAGCTGTGGTGGGCTTCAGAGACACAGAGCAGGTCAGATCCTCCACCACCTCCAGCTGCTTCTCTCTGCTTCGCCTGTCACCTTTATTCTGCTTCCCTTGCAGATCGTTGGAATAGCAGCAAAGCAAGGTCAGGTCCGGAACGCGGCCAACACTGTGGTGAAGGTGAAGCAGGTCCTGGGGAGAAGGTAACTGGTTCTGTCAGGGCGGCTCTATGGGAAACTTTGAGCTCTGGAATCAAAGGACCAAATATTTTTCTCAGGTTTTTTCCTCCCTGATGGTTTCATCTCTTCTTCTTGTCTCAGATTCGATGATCCTGTGACTCAGACGCACAAAGCGGAGACCAAATGTCAGGTATGTTGATGGAACATCTTGGTCCAGCGGTCCAGGGACGGACGGTGATGCTGTGATTGTTGGCTGCAGGTGGTGGACAAGGAGCAGAGGCCTTACTACGCGCTGAGCTGTGGGGAGCGAGCGGAGCTGGTGGCCCCGGAGGACGTGGCGAAGCTCATCTTCAGGAAGATGAAAGGTAGCGTGAAGCTAACGGCGTTAGCTGCAGAGGAACCACCTACTGACTGCTTCCTCTGTCCCTCCAGAAACGGCTCAGTCTGCTCTGGGCTCTGATGTCACCGACTGCGTCATCACCGTCCCCTTTGAGTTTGCACATGCTCAGAAGAGGGCTTTGAGGTGAGGCGGCTCTCTAGTTGCATTCTGGGTAATGGTGATAAAGCCTTGGACTCTGACCTGATGTGCTGCTTGCAGGGAGGCGGCGGAAGCTGCCGGCTTCCATGTGCTGAGAATGATCCACGAACCCGCCGCCGCTCTGCTGGCCTACAACGTGGGCCAAGACTACTCGTCTGGGAGCAGGTAGAGACCCACCACCGTTTGAACCTCGGGCTCCCAGTTTAATTTGCTGTGACCAGTATTCCCTCCCAGCAGGGCGGGTCCATAAAGTAAAAAAACAGCTTTGATTTCCACCTCTGGGAGGTTTAGACCAGCTTCCTCAGCCGAGGATGAGAACGCCAAGGTCCCCGCCCTCCACTGGCTGGACATTCTTCTTCTCTGGAGTTGCACCTGATTGCAGAGCAGGAGTGGGCATTCTTGGTGCCTCTCATCTTGGTGCCTGTACGTTGGGGTTCAGCCTGGTGAACGAGAGGGTGGCCTCCCTCCGCGTATGTGTGGGGGGGGACAGAATCTGACTGTTGTTTGCACTTATGCGCCAAACAGCAGTTCAGATTACCCATTCTTTTTAGAGTCTTTAGTCTACGGGCTAACGTTAGCCCTGGCTGTGGTTAGCCAACAACAGAAAAGAGAACTTCTAACTTAAAGGAGAATTCTGTTTTTTAACACTTTTAGCCCATTTTCTGTAGTGTCCAGGATGAAATCGAATGATCGACACCAAAATTTTGACAATTGGTCCTGTCTCGGCTATTTGGCTCATGCAGAATCCCCCCCTGGCTGCTTCAGAATGGCTTCCATAGTGCATGTCCGATAATGTCCTTAAAACAACCTTAAACGTTCTTTTTTTAAAATATGCTACTCACCGGGTCGTCAGCGCTGTTCAATGACGTTCCAAAAAAAGTTTCGTGAAGAAAAAACGTTCCTGTAGTGTTTTATTTAGCATTTTGTAAATCCCATTGAGTTCTGTAGGAATTGTCAATATTACCCTGCCACCGGAAACGGAAATGGGGCCTGTTTACACAGTTGTAGTCTTTTCGCTTCACTCTGTGTACTCCGACGTCGAGAATCAAGAATCCACCTTTCGTATTCCATTTTCAGAGTTTTTTTAAAGTGTTTAACAGAGACGTTAGTACCTCGACGTCGGAGTACACAGAGTGAAGCGAAAAGACTACAACTGTGTAAACAGGCCCCATTTCCGGTGGCGGAGGGATATTGACTATTCCAACAGAACTCAATGGGATTTACAAAATGCTAAATAAAACACTACAGGAACGTTTTTTCTTTACGAAACTTTTTTTGGACCGTCATTGAACAGCGCTGACGACCCGGTGAGTAGCATATTTAAAAAAAAGAACGTTTAAGGTTGTTTTAAGGACATTATCGGACATGCTCTATGGAAGCCATTCTGAAGCAGCCAGGGGTGGATTCTAAATGAGCCAAAAAGCAGAGACAGGACCAATTGTCAAAATTTTGGTGTCGATCATTCGATTTCATCCTGGACACTACAGAAAATGGGCTAAAAGTGTTAAAAACCGGAATTCTCCTTTATTACTCTTGAGTTCTGTGAGAGCTAACCTGGAAGCTGCTGCTGCCACAGTGCATTCTGGGACAGCTGTCAGTCCTCCTCCTGTCTCTTGTCCTCCTCCTGACCCTGTCCTCTTGTCTTCCAGCCATGTCCTGGTCTATAAGCTGGGGGGGACGTCCCTGAGTGTGACGGTGCTGCAGACCAACGGGGGGATGATCCGGGTGCTCTCCACCCGCACCGAACACAGCATCGGAGGGGAGAGCTTCACCCAGGCGCTGGCTCAGCACCTGGCCTCAGAGTTTAAAAGGTAGCAGTTTGCTTCAGAGCCACCAGGTGGCGTCTAACCTCTCCTAGCAGAACTCTCCATGGTGTCTGTGATGTTCTGCAGAACCTTCAAGCACGATGTGAGCAGGAACCCGCGGGCCCTGCTGAAGCTGATGAACAGTGCAGACATGGCCAAGCACTCCCTGTCCTCCCTGGGCTCTGCTAACTGCTTCGTGGACTCCCTCCATGATGGCGTGGACTTTGAGTGCAGCGTTTCCAGGTGAGCGGACCGCCCGCCGCTCTGCTCCGGGTTCATTCCTGCTTCATGACTGCAGCTTTTCTCCACAGAGCGCGCTTCGAGCTGCTCTGCTCCTCGCTGTTCAACAGAAGCATCCAGCCAATCAGGGCCCTGCTGGAGGAGGCTGGCCTCTCGGCCACAGACATCAACACGGTACGCCGGCAGAATGACGGCCCGTCTCCATGGCGTCCAGTTCTAGCAGAACGCTGCTGACCATCGGTGAAATGTCCGGCCTCGTTTCAGGTGGTTCTGTGCGGCGGGTCGTCCAGGATCCCTCGCCTCCAGCAGATGATCCGGGAGATGTTCCCAGATGTGGAGCTGCTCAATTCGTCTCCTCCTGATGAGGTCATCGCCGTGGGGGCGGCCATCCAAGCCGGGCTCCTGGTGGGCAGGGACGGCCTGGGCCCCGACGACGAGTCAGTGGCTGTGGATGTTTGTGCTGCAGACATCCTGCTGAAGGTACGGTGGCCCTGATGGAGCAGTCTTCCTATTAGCGCCACCTAAAGGGCTGGAGGAGTTTATTCTGACTAATGTTAACAATGTTTTAAATGCGTTTAGCTGTGATCTGCAGACAGCTTCACTTTGGACTGAACCGTAATAAAACGTCTTTTCTTTCATCCAGTGACGGGATGGGGGGGGCTGGGTGTTTGTTTTGCCTGCAGGAGTTGGATGAAGCAGGAGCTGAGACCTTCAGGGTCCTGGTTCCCCAGGGGACCCCCCTTCCTGCCCGCAGACACCACAGCCTGTCTGCTGAGGGCAAGATGGCCTCCCTCTGCCTGGAGATCTATCAGAGGTTAGACGGCGAGCAGCCAGAGAGACTGTCCAAGGTGAGGGGGCTAGGTGTTGTAGACCTCTGGGGTACGGGTTCCTCTCCTCTCCAGGCTGACCTGTAGATTCAGTAGATCCTGTTTATTCAGCCCCAGCAGCTGACGTCGTCTCACCGCTCCTCTCCTCTTTCTCCAGCTGGTTGTGCGAGGCCTGCCGCCCAGCGAGGAGCGGCGCCGCGTGGACGCTGTGATCACCATGAAAAGGTGGGTCCTCTCTTAAGGATCAGCGCCTCACTACAAGCCTTCAGATTGGTGGACGATGCTTTCTGTGTTTCAGGGACGGCTCCTTTCACCTTTCTTGTGCCGCTAACGACGACGGAAGATCGGAGGCGGTCACCATAGCGGCAGCATCATGATCCACGGCTCCTGGCTGTACCACCCAATAAACATTGAACTGTGGAGCTGCTCTGTGTTTGGTCTCCACTGGGGAGGGAATCTGACGGGAATGTTCCACTGATGGCCAGCAGGTGTCACCCTAAGAGAGGGGTGGACAGGAAGCCAATCATTCATTTTTGCTGTGATTGGGGCGGGGCGGTGTTAGGGGCGGAGCAAAGGAAGCGCTGCAGCTGATGGCTCCTGTTCATCAGAAACACCAATGACAGAATTAGGACTACAGGAAACAAAGTTCCTTAGAGCTTTTCTAAACCCCAAACATCTGGATGAGAACATCAGCAGGAGATCAGGGATGGAGGAGGAACCCATGAGATGATGAACAGGTCCTCCCTGTTTTTATTCTTCATTCTCACCTGCTGACAGAAGATTCCACCTAAATACATACAATGATCCATTACAATTCAACAAATAAACCCGTAATGTTATCACTGTGGCAAGCCATTATGATATTTATTAGTTTTACTGAATTCCTTATATCTGAAGAAACGTTTTTTTTCTTTGTCTAAATGACCATTTCTAACAGAGTTGCATTCTCCGTATCTAGAATAAACATTCTAGTCTAGAAATTAATTATAGATCTCCAGATTCATATTGTTACTGATCAGCATTTCTATTATTTCGACAATGAAGAAATGTATTTCAGATATAAAAAATATATTTAGTCAAGCTGATAAATGTCAGAACGGCTAATTAAAAAATGTAAACATTTCTAGAGAAATAAAGCCGCTGTTACACATGGTTTAGCCTGACGTACAGAAAAAAACTTGAACTTCCAGGTTCAATTTACTTTACTTCAAGGATTATTAACCTTCAATGATTGATGGGAAGGTTTGAACAGGATCCAGTGCAGAGTTAGCCCCGCCCACATGCTGACAGAGATGACCACTCTGAACCTTTTCTGACATTTAAGGCTAGTTTTGGTTTCCAGGCAACAGCAGCTTTATATATATAAATATATATATGATGTGTTGGTTCCTTTAGTTTGAAAGTTCAGCTGTTTTGATAAATATTAGTTTTACTGACTTCCTGATATCTAAAGAAACATTTTTTTTCTTTTTCTAAATGACCAGTTCTAACAAAGTTGCATTCTCCATATCTAGAATAAACATTCTAGTCTAGAAATTAGTTATAGAAGTCCAGATTCATGCGGTTACTGATCAGCATTTCTAATATTTTGACAATGAACAAATGTATTTCAGATATAAAAAAATATATTTAGTCAAGCTGATAAATGTCAGAACGGCTAATTAAAATATTTAAACATTTCTAGAGAAATAAAGCCGCTGTCACACATGGTTTAGCCTGATGTACAGAAAATTTGGCACAAACTGGCGTAGGTTGGGTAAGTTATGAGCACGCTAAAACATGCTAATGTCAACATATTGCGATTACGTCCCGCCGTGCGCCAGCGTCTGCCATCCATGGGCCATCGGTTCCAGGTCAGTTATCTGATGGTCGACATACGTTAAAGTCTTAGACTTTATCATCATTCATGGCAATCTGTTTTTCAGAACAGGTCATTAAGTCTGAGAGGCTTCAGGTGTTTTTTTTATCATAAATGTTTGAATTATTTTCATCCTCTATATCCTGGAACCAGAAGAGGAATATCCTGGAAGGACCCTGCTGCCATCTTCAACATTTCCTGCTTTTTAAAGCCAGAATAAAGGAATACCGTCTGATAAAATGGGAGGCCTCTCCATCCTCTCATTAACCAATCAAAGCCTTAAGCTCGAGCTTGAAGGTCATCTCAGGTCTTATGAGAAGTTTCTAGAACAGTCAGGAACCACAGCGGCTTCATTTCTCTCATTTTCTAAAAGTTTCTCCGTAACAGAAACACCTGGAAAGTTTCAGGCACTTTATTAAATCTGTTTTTAAACCTTCATCAATTTAAAGTGAAACTAAAAGTTTTCTGATATAAAGCGATGTCTGGAATTCCCCAAACATTCCCGTATGAGCATCAGGTCAACCCACACCCTGAGCGGAAGCGCCGCCCCGCCACAGGTCACATGACTCACAGAAAGTGAAACTTGGCTGCAGCGTTCAGCCTTGTGTTGTTTTTCAGGATGATGTCATTTTTACTGGATGAAGGTTTTTTTTATACCTTCCAGATTATTCCATCTAATCTAATCCCACGTTTAACTTTTTTAACATTTAGCTCAGCTGTGGGGGAAAGGATGAACCTGCCAGGTTTATCTGTTACCGTGTCACCAGTGGTGTCCAGAGCTGTTGCCATGGGGACCAGTTGAAAGAACTGAGCGGCTACCAAATGAGGACAGGTTTATTAGGATTGAGGCGTTAAAAACAATCTTACAGTGAGAAGCAGAGCGGCTGAACTTCCAGACTAAAGGAACCAACACATCATATATATATATATATATATATATATATATATATATATATATATATATATATATATATATATATATATATATATATATATATATATAGCTGCTGTTGCCTGGAAACCAAAACTAGCCTTAAATGTCAGAAAAGGTTCAGAGTGGTCATCTCTGTTAGCATGTGGGCGGGGCTAACTCTGCACTGGATCCTGTTCAAACCTTCCCATCAATCATTGAAGGTTAATAATCCTTGAAGTAAAGTAAATTGAACCTGGAAGTTTGTGTTGAACTGAGTCAGAATGAAGATTTTAATCGTCCGTCGCTCTTTTTAAACAAGCTCTGTCAGTGAAAGTTGCTTCCTAATATTTCCTGAACATGAATCTGATTCCTGCGTTCTGCACCAACCCATTAAGGCTGACTCTTAACTTTCTGCTTCTCAATGCAGAAAAAAAACTCAGAAGTTATAGTCTTTGGACCCGAGTCAAGGCTGGACTACTCAGTTTATTTCTATAGCTCCAATTTACGTCATGTCATCTCAGGTCACTTTCCAGTTCACCAGATCATCCAGTCAGATTGATTCAAAGTTTTCTATCTAAGGAAAACCAGCTGATTGCATCGACTCATTGGCCGTTTCTCAATATGCATTCTTTAGCGTTCTCGTGTGCTCGTGGCCTCGTGACACGTCATCAGCCTCAGCCCGAGTACCGTTCCAATTCTCAAGAACGCCAGATCGAGAACGCATTAAATCCCCGGATGTTGTTCTCACCCCGCACTCTTTATCGAGCATGCATCAGAGCAGACTTGTGCGTTCTTCAGACTGACCGCTTCCCCAGAATGCCCCGCGGCCGCAGCTTCATTCCAGACAGCGCTCACAGTGTTAAGTTAAACATTCCCTTTTCTGCTGCTGTTGTTCTTCAAAAGTACGTTTTGAAATCGTTTGAGGCAATAACATTATACATTGAAGCCTCCCTGTGTGGTCTGTTTACAGAGTTAGTGCGAAATAAAAAAAAAAAAGTCCGACGTTGAGCGGACCAGAGTGACCAGCAGACCTCCGAGGGTAACCGCAGCCAGGGCTAAATTTACCCCGTCTGTAGTGCACTTCTCTCGGTCTAGTTATGTGTGAACTACCGCTCGTTCTGATGGCGGTTTTTTGCGGTTCGGTAATTTTTTTAAATGTTTTTTAAGCTTTAGAAATTAAAAGTATGTTTTCAAAATGTTTTGTGTAGGGAATAAATAGTTTTGACTGTTAAAGAAATGCTAAACAACGTTGTCTGTGATGACGTCACGAGTGCGCTTCTGCTCCAATACACATACGTGCTTGCGTGCTCGCGTTCTCGTCAAGTCCGATCTTCCTGCGTTCTCGCCAAGAACGGACTTGACGAGAACGCGAGTACGTACTCGCGTTCTCGTGAATTGAGAAACGCCCATTGACTCTTCAGCAATCCCTCACACTAAGGATACTTGTAGCGACAGTGGAGAGGAAAAACTCCCTTTTAGCAAGAAGAAACCTCCAGCAGAACCAGGCTCAGTGTGAGCGGCCATCTGCTGAGGCCATCTGGGGTTCAAGGAGACAGAAGCAGAGATAGGAAAAGAAGCATAGATACAAAAGGCAACTGTCAACCAGCTCCACAGGCGGCCCCGTCCAGGAAACACACAGCCAGGCAGACAAGCTTTACTATCAGGAAGTCCACAAACTGTAGTTAAAAGCCTTCAGCTGATCCAAAATGCTGCAGCCAGAGTTCTGATGAAAATGAAAAAGAGAGATCATATCTCTCCTATCCTGGCTTCTCTTCATTGGCTTCCTGTTAAATCCAGAATAGAATTTAAAATAGACTGCTGGAGGACATAGGGACCCCTTTTTCATCATTCTGCTTCATTCTATCTCTATTCTCCCACTCTGCAGAATCTGTTAGTTCAATCTCTAACGTTTTGCTCTCTCTGCTTTTTCTCATAGCAGCTTCATCTGGTCTGTTCCTGTTTGGCTGTGACTCCATCCTGGAGAGAAATATCAGCTGTGCTGCTGCCATCAACACCTTTGTTTATAGAAGTTGGAGATCGGCCTGTTTTCCAGTGTAGTCCTGTTTCTCTGACTGTGACCAACTGGATGTGCTCTCTTCATCCTCTGACATGGGAGCTGGCTCGGAGCTCGTCTGCCTGGCTGTGTGTTTCCTGGATGGAGCCGCCTGTGGAGCTGGTTGACAGTTGCCTTTTGTATCTATGCTTCTTTTTCTATGTCTGCTTCTGTCTCCTTGAACCCCAGTCGGCCTCAGCAGATGGCCGCTCACACTGAGCCTGGTTCTGCTGGAGGTTTCTTCCTGTTCAAAGGGAGTCTTTCCTCTCCACTGTCGCTACAAGCATGCTTAGTGTGAGGGATTGCTGAAGAGTCGATGAGTCAATGCAATCAGCTGTTTTTTCTTAGATAGAAAACTTTCAACCAATCTCACTGAATGATCTGGTTGATCTGGATCTATAAAGTGACCTGAGATGACATGATGTGAATTGGTTCTATAGAAATAAACTGAATAGAACTGAGCCATTTGGTTGATTTTAGGACTTTCTGTTGATTAGTCAAGGTCTTTGAAACTTAACTAACTCATCCAAGTTTTTAATTGTAAAGATACTTTTCTACAGCCTGCAGTATAGATCGGAGCACGGCTATAGATCGGAGTCCGGCTATAGATCGCAGCACGGCTATAGACCGGAGCACAGCTATAGATTGAAGCCCGGCTATAGATCGGAATCCGGCTAAAGATCGGAGTACAGCTATAGATTGGAGCACGGCTATAGATCGGAGCCCGGCTACAGATCGGAGCCCGGCTTTAGACTGAAGCACGGCTTTAGACTGAAGGACGGCTATAGATCGGAGCCCGGCCAAAGGTCGGAGCACGGCTTTAGATCGGAGCACGGCTATAGATCGGAGCACGGCTTTAGACTGAAGCACGGCTTTAGATCGGAGCACGGCTATAGATCGGAGCCCGGCTATAGATCGGAGCCCGGTTATGGATCGGAGCACGGCTTTAGACTGAAGGACGGCTATAGATCGGAGCCCGGCTATAGATCGGAGCACAGCTATAGATCGGAGCCCGGCTATAGATCGGAGCACGGCTATGGATCGGAGCACGGCTTTAGACTGAAGCACGGCTATACATCGGAGCCCAGCTTTAGATCGGAGCACGGCTATAGATCGGAGCACGGCTTTAGATCGGAGCACGGCTATAGATCGGAGCACGGCTATAGATCGGAGCACGGCTATAGATCGGAGCACGGAATCAGGTCTTTGGTGGTCGGCTTATAGCCTTCATGAAGCCTTCTCTGCTGTTCTTCATCTGAGTTAAAGAGGACCTGAAGTTTGGAGGTCTGCAGCTCCTCCTTAGCTTCTGCTGACTGCGCTCTGGGATAAACTACTTCACTTCCATCATTCCCTCTGACAGTCAACTGCTGGACTTCTGTCTCCAGGTGTGACTTCTTTTCTCTCACCTGTGATGTTTTTCTAACTAATGTGATTGAAGTCCCTCGTCACCTGATCAGACTTCCTTCTCTCCTTCATCAAGCTGGAGTTTGATGTTATAATCTAGAAATCAGCAAATAGTTTCTATTAAAACTGGTTTTAGTTTGGGAATGGACTGGAACTGGGAAGTTTCAGGTCGACCAGCTACTAATGAAATGACCTCTGACCCCAAACAACAAAGCAGTTAAACCGCTTCTTTCTTTCTCTGATAGAGTTTAGAGGTCAGAAGTGTTCAACCAATCAGGTTCTCCGCTAAAGAGAAAAACAGCTTTATTAGTTTCATTGCTCAGAAACTCCCCATTCTACAGTTACCTGCTACCCAAACGTCTTCGCTCCTGTTCTACCTGGAAACAGCAGCACATCTAATTCCTGATTGGTGGAGCTGGGATAGTGGGCGGGGTCTGAGGGCTTTTTAGCCCTGAGCTGAAGCTGTTTCTGTTCAGAGTTTAGGAGACAGACCAAGAGCTGGTTGCTGACCAAACTTCTGCATCTTCTAGAAGAACAAAGAGAGGAAATAATGAATGTTCTGCTTTGCCTCGCAGCTCTGGCTGCTCTGTGCTTCTCAGTGGAATCCAAAACATGTAAGTACCTCCAGGTTCTGGTCCTGGTCCAGGTCCTGGTTCTGGAGCTTCTGGTAAATTAACCATCACAGGCCGGTTCCTCCTCCTGGACGGCTCTTCTACTGCTAGCAGATCTACTCTGACATGTTTTCAGAAATAGGTTTATTAATCTTTCTGTGTTGATCTGATTATGATGATGAAATAAAATCATCAAAGCAGCTAAAGTTATATTTCTGCCTATTATGTTTTCCTTTGAAAAAGTGAATGTTTGAAGAAAATAAAAGGTTAAATAATGTTAAGAATAAGAAATGAAGTCAAAATGTTTTTCTGAGTTTAGTTTCAATTCTCCAGGCCTGATTCATGCTGCTGAACGGCTCCCTCTGCTGGCAGCAGCAGGAAGCAACTTTCCAGCCTCCTGGTTTTATACCAGGAAGCTGAAAGGTTGATCAGTGTCTTTAGAGCAGAAAATCTCACTGAATGAGTCAGAAACCACCAAATAATCCGACTTAATCTAAACCAATGACTGTCTGCCGCCTCCAGCTCCACCCAAAGTCGCTGTTTACAGCCGAGACCCCGGAGAGTTTGGGAAGGAGAACACCCTGATCTGCCATGTGAGCAACTTCCACCCCCCTGACATCACCATCGAGCTGCTGTGTGACGGCACTGCGCTCCCCAACCCCAAGCAGACAGACCTGGCCTTCAAACAGGACTGGCACTTCCATCTGACCAAGAGCGCCGCCTTCACTCCCGCCGCCGGGAAGAACTGCCTCTGCCGCGTCAATCACTCAGGCGTCTCCAAAGACCACGCTTGGGGTAAGTTTGGCCCCTGATGGTTTCTATAGAAACCAATTAAGTCCTGGAAAATTCCCGTCAGGATAAACCCACTTTGATCCTTTTACTTTCGATTTCCTCCCTTCGTCATTCCTGTCAATAAGGACTCGCTGCTGCTGGTCACATGACCTCAGAGAGCCAAAATGGCTTCCCAGAAAGGCTGATCTAATGCCATGTTTAGTTTGATGGAGGCGTCCGTCTGCTGCCACTGATCACTAACAGCTGCTGTCTTTGTTTTTTCAGAGCCAAACATGTAACTGCAGAATCCCTCCCAGGTGAGTGTCCCGTGGCGGCCGCCATGTTGTCCTTGTGCTGTTTTTGTTGTGTTTAGATGCTGCTGCATGTGTCCTAGTCAAAGTAAATTTTTTAGGCTTCAAAGCGTTTTGTAGGATCTTTGCAGCAGGACTGAACCTTCTCTGTTTCTTTCCAGAATCTCTCCAGATGTTTCATCCTCTGCAGCATTTATTCATGGGTTCATCAACGCCGCTTCTCCACTTTCATTTAAAGACTAATCCAGTTTAGGTGACCGGGCTTTTCGCTTCTTGTAAATTAGTTGTTTTTAATCGTTTGCTTTTCGTACTGTAAATGATTTTATAATCCTGTTTAACGTGTAAACTAAGTTAAAGTCTGAGCTTCAATGAGGTTCTAGGTGTCTGAGAGGTTTTCAGTTTTTCCTTTTTGGTTGAAGATGATTGTGAACAACCTCCTCTTAATAAAAACCTCTTGGTAAAAGTTTTTCATTGTCAGTTTTTAAATGATCTCCACATTGGATCTAGACGGTAATTTCTGCACCAATCAGAACTCTGATCTTCGATCTGATAGGTTGCACTGGCAGAGATTAGGAGGGTTGGGGTTCTGATCTAAGCATCCAATCCAGCAACCAGGTGGCAGTCGGATCCAGGGACAGACGGGGAAAAAGGCAAAATGAAGCATCAAAGGTCCTTCATAGGATTCTCTGAGGATCACGGCAGAAAAGTGCTTAGTTTGAGGAGCAGACCGCTGCGTTTGCCTTGAACTCTGGGTGATTTAGTGCAGTGGTTTATGTTAAAATAAACCTTTGGGTTAAGTTGTCGCAAGCAGGTTTTTCTTGTGAATTTGGTCTTTAATTTTTATTTCAAGTGACATTAAAAAGTCTTGAATTTAACTTGCCTTATGCTGTAGGAAGCCTGTAATAAGCTCATCTATTCACTCCCACCTGGAGGCCTCCTACCACTCATCATGGATAAACCATCCATCCAGTTAGCAGTCATTCAGTCACAGCAGGGGGCGTCACAGGACAGGCCGGGCCGTCCTCCAGCAGGAAACTCTACCTTCTCTAAAAGATCCTAAAAACCAGGGTGCCTCCTGGGAAATCAGGCTCTCAGCCAATCAGAGCCATAAGATCCTGTTTTGAATCTGATTACCACGCACTAATTAAAGAACCTTTAAGCCAATCAGAGTCTATATCAAAGTGAAAGTGAAATAAAAGCTGATGTCGGAGAGACTGAAACAAAATGATTCCATGTTCTTCATCAAAACAAATTAAAATCAATCAAAGACATAAATCACACTGACTTAAAAGCAAATGTTTGAACATCCCTGATCTGATTGTTCCCATAATCCTGTCAGTGTCTCTATGACTCATCAATCTAATCAGGCTACGTCCACACCGAGGCCTACTGTGACCCAAATCAGTTTTTTTTGCCCACATGCGACCTGGATCTGATCTTTTCATGGAAGTCTGAACAACACAGATCTGATGTTTTCCATTCGGACCAAGCCCACTCTGTGGTCCTGAATCCGATACGAATCTGATCTTTTCAAATGCCACCTGCGTCTGAACGGCCAGATCGCATTCATCCGATCTGAACGGCATTAATACCCGACAAAAGTCACTATTCTGGGTCTTGCTAGAGGCGGCAAGAAAAACAACATTGGTGGATGATGATGCGGAGAGCAGTATGAATGTTTAACCACCATGAAAAGATTGAGATTTTATGGATGGAAGGATCGCTAGATTTTCTCCAGCACTACCATCCATCTTTACTTCCGTAAACACGAAGCACGCTGGCCTGTGTTATCATTGCGTCCTCTGCGCATGCGAGACACTTGCGTTGTAAGAATGCAGTTCACACAGGAGATCACATGCTAGTCGCATATATTTTGAAATGTGAATGGCAACGGAAAAAAATCGTAATTGAGCATCAAGGCCTGCAGTGTGAACGTAGCCTAAGATGCTGAATCCACGTGGTGGTCTTCATGGTTCACATCAGTCCGTTCCTCCAGGATCCTCCGACACACGGCCGAGAGGATTTACTGAACAGGAAATCCTCTCGCTTCAATACACAGTAAAGACTCATTTACTCTAATTCATCATTTACTCCAAACTTTAGTCAAAACCAGACATTTTTAACCACAATTACTTTCATTTTAGCTGAAAATGATTAAAATCATTGTGTTTAAATGGTCTGAATTCAGCAGATTGTTTCAGGTTTTAATCAGAAAACATGTCTGACCTTTCTATACCTGGCAGGTGAAAGTTATCTATAATAGAACATCATCGTATAGAAAAACAGCTGATCCTGCCCTTTAGCCTGAAGGTCAGTGTTTGAAATATTTCACTGCTCTATGTGTTTTATGTGAATGCTGGTGTGTGCAGAGCACTGTGTGCGCATATCTATGTGTGTGGATCTATGTGTGCCTATCTGGTCAGGACCCATCTTGCTGCTGGTCCTGGAAAAGGAAGTACCTCTCTAAGCATTGATCCTGTTGAATGTCAGGACAGTCCATCAGGTTACCATGGTTACCATAGCAGCTTTGATGCATCAGAGCCTTGGGGCACAAGTGTCACCCCCCCACCCCCAAGTGAAAAACACGGAGGCAAAAGGAATAAGAAGGATGCTCCCTTTGGTGCATTTGAAGGTTCCTCCAATCAGGATTGTTCGCCGTCTGGCTTCCCTCTCCCCATCAGCAGCTCCTGAAACCGGTGAATTCGCCGCCATCTCCTCCATGCAAAGCCTCCAGGCTCTGTCCATTAGCTTCCTCCATAACAGACGCTCCAATAAAAGATCAATGGTGTGTTCTTAGCGCCACAGGCTAGTCTGGACCCCTGACCTGACCTGATCCAAAAATAGGATATGTTCTTCCATGTGTTTTATCTCTATTGCTCTGTTTGAAATCCTGGGACGCGTCCTTAGAAGGCCAGATTCGAAGGACGTTTGCGTCATAGCGTGGCGCCGAGGTCTGGTCGATTCCAAGAGTCCTCAATATGCGGCCTTAAAATGCGTCCTTTTTGCCCGATTTGAAGGACGGGTCCAATGTATCCTTGGTTTACCCAGGATTCATTGCGAGACCAAGCAAGCCGGCTGCTCCGTGATCAGAGGACAGGTTACTTGGCGCCGACCAGTGGTGAAAATTGGAAGTGCAGTTTAATATGATACAAGTATGTGAATAGTTCCGTCTGAAATTAATGAAAACAGTTGTTTTAATAGTTACTGAGTCAGATATGTGGCGGTAATGTTTGGTTTATCTAAAGGTTTTTATCTATAAATGGGTTTTGGCTGTAATTTAAGGACAGATTCTAATATATCTGCAGAGTGGGGACTATAAATCTGATAGCATTTTAATTTTTTTATTGCTGTTTTGCACAATATGCTTAAGTATTTTTTGTTGTTGAATATTAGAGATTTTGCAGATATATTTTTTTATACACATTGTTTAGATTTACTTATGTGGCACCCCCGAGAGGTGTGATCATCCAAAAAAACCACAGAGCAAAAGAGAATGCGAGCAGAGCCCTAAAAATTTTAATCAATAAAAGACCAATAATTTATAAAAAAAAAAAAAAAAAGAGTTTGCTAAAAAGGTTTGCTTAATAAAATAGGCTAAAAGGAAAGAGATAAAAAAAATAAATAAAAAGGCAGGCGATCAAGAGCAGCAGAGTCAATGGGTCAATCTGTTAAAAGATGCGCTCTTGGCGGGCACGATGGAGGGCACGGTCCACACCACTTCCGGCACGCTGCGCAGTCCTCTTTTCAGCACGCTGTGCGCGTGGGCCTCTCCTGCATAGCTGGCCTTAGAGAGGTCAGCGCGCCTCCGCACCTCGCGCCAGCGTCCCAGTCTGCAGGCTGTTTGGCGGATTAGGAACACCTGTGCCGCTGCTGTGGGCGTGTCCTGGTATGTGTTGTAATGTGACCTCCATTCAAACTCATGCAACAACGAAAAATGAAAACAAGACACAAATAACCCTAAAATGAGGCAAATCCAAATCAGAAAAACAAAACGTGCAATCAACTTCAAAAAAAAAAAAAAAAAGAAGAGGCCACATTACCACCCTTATATCTTTCTACCCCTTATATAGAATAGAAAATCCCTTTATTGTCCCACAATGGGCAAATTTACTGCAGCAGAAATATTATTGAAAATGTTCACACAAATGTGGACCTTAGAAAAATGTCAAAGAATAACATAATAGGGAAGAGTTAAAATATAAACAATAAAATCCTGTAAAGTGTTTTAACAATATAAAACTGGAGAATAAATAACCAATATGCAGCTATGGACATTTTTACAGTAATGGATATTTGAAAATAGCAGCAACATCAGAGATGTGCAGAATGACAGCAGCAGGTTATATAACTGACTAAGGTTTCTATCATTACATTTGATTTTATTTGTTCCTGCTCCCGGTGGTTGGAACCTTTATTCCACTCTGGATTCTTGTGAGTGTAGTCTTTGTTCACTTTAACTTTTGAAAAAATAAATAAATAAACAAACAGTTTTGAAAACTTTGGTTTTCATTCTTTTCCTGCTTTGTGTGTCAACGTTCACAGTTGCTAAGCAACAGAGCATATTGCGGTAAAACCCGCCGAAGGGTAGACCTGTTTGAATTTACAGCCAAAATACTTCCGGTCTCCTTTTTTTCACGGACTTCGAAGGATCCAGACCGCGTCCTTGGAGGATGCAGCCCAGGATTTCGAACAGAGTCTATGTGTTTTATCTCTATCTGTTTCATCTCTATGTGTTTTATCCAACTGGTATACTCAATCTGCAATCTAGTGAAACGTCTTCTACTTCCCTTTCTGTGGGATTTGGCGCCCTCTTCTGGCCAGACTCCTCCATTGCAATCTCTTTTTCCATTATTACAAAGTTTGGGGAGAAACTAGATAAAACACAGTTATATATATTTATATAAGAGTTGTTTCTGTCAAAAATGATTTCGTTGATGCTCCTTTTTTTCATGAAGACAATGAGAACTGATGACAGGGCTGCCAACTTCTCTCCAAAGCTTGCAGTGAGATTCTGAAATAGTTTGAAGAGGAAACACTGTCAGGGTTCGATTGAGGCTGTGAGGTGCAGCTAAAGGTTGGGGGTTTTCAGAGCATTTAACTGAATCTAAGTATTAAAATGTCAAAATTTTAAAGCACAGTAAATGTTACTGAATAACAATCAGAGATCTGTAGTTATGATGAACATTTTCAAACAATATTCATTATTTTCTAAATTCTGGTGATTTTTCAGAGAACTGAAGTAAATAAGAACGAATTTGCATCTTAAATATGCTAAGAATTCCATAACTTTGTTTATTAATTATTGTATGCAGTTCAATAAAATAACCAATGGGAAATAATAAGTTATCACTGGATTACTTACACTGATATAGGAACCAGTGCAATCTAATCCCATGCAAACTACCCTGT